CATGCCGCAACTCAGGGCATGCCCTCAAAGGCATGCCTGATTTTTTACCCGTGCCTCAAACCCTATTGGTCCAGTAATCTCCTACGTCTCGAGTTGCCAGAAGTTCGACATCTAATGCGGGGTTTGCTAACTCGGAATCGCGATCGTCAGGGATTTCGACCTTCCATAACTTGAGATCTTTGGCGTCGACATTAGCAAAAGCCTGCCTGTTTTTCGCTTTGATAGTCTCCTTGAGTTTGCTAATAGACTTGCCCTTCTCAATATCAACTTCGAAAGCATTCGCGGTCGTGTTTCCTTTGACAAGACAGAATAAAGTGGCCGACATTTCGAGCTATATACGATTTTTTTCGTGGAATGTTATTGGTTCAACTGTTGAAAAAGGTACGGAAAAAATTTTGACGAATAATGTGGGGGGTTGGTGGTATATGTGAAAATGTATTCGGTTTCACAATGCTATGTACTACGTTAGTAGAAAATTTTTCGGGTGATCGCGGGTGATGTGCAGGTCACACGATTACATCATGCATGAAAAGTTCCATGACCTTCGATTTTATTCTGTGATAAATGTATTACGGAGTAATGTGCCGAATCATTATCTGTATTATGTAATCGATTTTTCAGACATGTGATTTTATTTCGAAAGAGCCATTCTTTCTCCCGGTAATTGATTTTACGTGTGGTAATAAGGGGTGTTTTCATTTGGAATAAATCATCATTATGAGATATGCAAATCAGGAATTATCACAAGAGACTAAGCTAATTCATCGCTGTTTTGTGAAATTAATGCCAATCTTTATTTATCAGCTAAGACCATCTACGATTTCCTGTAAATATTGAGCGATTCTGAGCCGAAGTAATTAACGATCACCAAATCCGAAATTAGTTTTCATAACATCTGAAATTGGTTTTGTTAGTAGCGATGGGTAGTGGTGTATGTGCTTATGACCCTTTAGGGTCGCCCCTTCGGGCCTGTGGAACAATGAGCTTCACTCTGGCACTAACTCCGTTATAAAAAACGAGTTACAGTAAGTATATGGAAAACTTATGTGTCAGAGATACTAGCTCTGCTATCCGGTTATACACCTCGCTATGACTGCTAATATCTCATCTCTCGAAGCCCTTGCATTAAACATTTTAGAAAATTCATTCTCAAAAAAGATTGCGGAAGGTGTAGATGTTCCGGAACTAGATCCATGCTCGTTATGCAACCAAGAACTTTTTTTGTATGAAATAAAAAACCCGATTACTATACTCATCTGTGGACATATTTATCATCGCGATTGTATCGAAAATTCCATCAAAAAACATTCAATATGTCCAAAATCTGATTGCAAGAAGGGGATAAAAACTATGGTCGAGAGCACACCTGAAAGTCAATATACCACTGATCCAATGAATATATCTCCGGCATTATTGGCTGATTTTGCAATATTTCCAAGTTCGCCTAAAAAGCGTGTTGGTGAGTCTACCAATAAATCATCCAGCAAGAAAGTGAAGAAGCAGGTTGGAAAGGAAGATTCGCATATATTAAAAAAACTTATCAGTGAGTTGTCTACTGATACTTCTGAAAATTCAGAAATTTTGCAATCCAAATCCGCCTCCTCGACAACAATCAATTTCCTTAATTTGTATCAAAAAATCATAGAATCTGAAGATAATAATAAGAGAATGTCTCAAGAAGTTATTCTTTGTTATTTTCATTTGGGAAAAGCATTGGAGGATCGCTTCAATTACTACAGAAAAACAAATCCCAAACGCACAGCTCAAGGGTTAGTTAATAATGAGGTTAGAACTCAGATTCCCGAATCGGTTAGTGAAAGCTTACTTCGAAAGACAAAGGAAAGAGCACAGAAAATTTATGATATCTTTAATGAGATCGGTGTCGATAAAATCAAACGGATTCGGTCTTTTACGGCTACAACAATAGCAAATATATCCCAAGATGACATTGATTTTGTATTAGCCAAACTTTCGGTAATTTATGCCGATTCTAAAAAATAGAGGCAGGCACGAAGTGTCATTTCTCCCGAAATAAGCCTCATTACGCAATAATCTATTGTAAGGTCACGTGACGTTGTGACAAGCTGTCACAATCTATGAAATAAATTTTGATCGTGTTAGTGTTGCCGTATAAATGCGCCTAATTTTCCAATGTATTTTAGCCGTGCTAATTATAATTTATGCATGTGATGTGAAGCCCCAAGGGTGCAACCCCATGTGATCACGGAAAATGATTTATGCTGGTTATTGTTATCTAATAGCGGAGCTAGTGTCAGAACGAAGAATATGACGATTATACATAACTCATCTAATAACCCAATTCGCACTAAAAATGAATCATACATTCTTATACTATAGAGAACCGAATCTAATAGGTCTAAATTCCTAAATTCGATATAAATCACCAATTATGTCAGGTCTTACTATTACAACTATTATCGATAAAAAAGCTAAATCAATTAAGCTCATTAATAATCGTCCTGGATATGATATGAAATATGTAAAGTCATATATCTACAATTATTGTGGAATTAGTGATTATCAATGATACTTTGATGATCTTTATGAGACTGAAAGACGATATGATACTTTATCAGTTATTCGACCCGATAAAACTCCACGACAATGGGCTATTCGAGTCAGAGTTCCTTTACAAGAGTTGGTTTCTAAAAAGAAAAGAAGCGTATATCACATACACTGTTTATATGGTGGATTTGGAAATTCTAAGCTAGTCAATCACGACTACTACAAACCTAGAATTCACAAAACTCATATGGTAATTTGTCTTGATTGCTGGAAATTGATTCAAGTTAATGATGTGAAATCAAAGAAAGTATATGCTTCTGCTATTTACAGATACATCGAAAAGATTGAACCTGCAGATTTGATGAAGTATCATTGAGATCATGAATGTAATAATCCAAAATCTCAAGATGGATATGCTCGAATCATACAAACTGCTTATCGCCGATTCAAAGAAAGAGTACCATCAAATGCACGTCTTGCTTGGTTAAGTTTATCAAATGATAATACTCCAGATGATAAGAAATTTTTAGGTTTAATTTCGCAAAAAATAAAAAACCCATACTCCTTAGATCGATTAAAAACACGTCTTAATAAGGAATATGCCGAGTATATAAAAGAATATAATAGATATCCATATATAGCTGAATTTGAAATTAGTATATATCAGGAATATATTATTCCACACAATTGGATAAATCGTAAAAAGAAACAATTGCGATATAGATTTAGTAACTGTCTCCAACAATTAGAAATATAAATACACATATCTATTTATTCGATTAATATATCTATTTAAAATAAAATTATCTTAAGTATTCCTGAGGGCTAGTACTTTAGACTTTATTTGTTATCCCTAAGGGCTGGTAATATTTTTTACTTTGATTTTTTTCATATTAACCTGTTTTATGGGACACAAAAATCCCTAGTATAGATAATAGATCGTGCTTGTTATTGTTTCTCATCCACCTCAATTTCAACACTAGGCTGGATACGTGCATCTTCTCAATTATATAAGAAGTGGCGAGTAAGATGTACTTATTTTGTTGTATTAATAAATAACCGAAAAAATAATTATTCGATTGTTATGCCTTATTTTATCCGATTTCAAAGTATTATATCTTCTGAAATCTTGCCCTGGTTAGGCAGAATGTTTATTATCTTTTAATCACTCGATCTCCTTTTCTAGATCAAGAGGGGTGTCCCATCGAAGTAAGAAAGACTCAGATCTGGGTTTATTCAGATCTATAACTATAAACTCTTTTTGCTTCAAATAACCGTCAATAATTTTTGAAGCTTTTCGCAGATCTACATCAGTGTAAAGACTTATAATATCTGCAAGTTTTCAAATAGAGCCCCCACCATTAAAGAGAACAATGTGAGTAGCATTTTCACGAATATCTATTGGGATTTTGTGAAATTTCTGAGCAACATAAATTGAGGAAATATTCTCATGACGACCTCGAGTGAAAAATGGAATAATTTTTTTCTGTATAGCTGGAGGGTCAGAGTAAAGATCTTCAAATATCGCTAATGTACTTCTTTTAGCATTAAACTTTTTGGGATCTGGGATTTTATC